TATGAAAAAATTCAAACAAACTGTTGGTACCATGTGAAAGTTTGGCAAACATATTGGTATAAGAATGGTACGATTTTTAATACATATAATATCGATAATGCGGAAGCATTTTTCCAAAAAATACGCCACAAATAAATCCATTTAGAGAAATACGAATACTTTTTCGGTTATGTATCCAAACAAAAAAGTTTATTTTAACTACTATGCGAAAATACGAAAAAAATTAAATTAACTTATAATACTAATTTCATCATTTAATGCAGACTGAAATTCTGAATGAGTAGTTAATTTCCATATCCCCAGATTTAGCCTGCGGTGAATATCATATTATCTATTTCTAAACTTAAAATCTTTACGAAAATACGTTTTACGAAAATATGTTTTTATATAGCCCAGTGAAGATCTGTAAAAAAATGCTAAGTTAATTATAGTGTGACGGATCTTTAGATTTTTGTAGAATATCTCAGGAGGGGTGTTTATAATTAGAATTAGAATATGCTTCGGTCGAACAAGGTGGAAAAATATATCGACCTTACATACCAATGTTCTTCAACCCTTTATCCTGAATATCTCGCAAAGTATCATATCTACGCAAAATTGGATAAAAAATTGTAAAATAATTGTTCACCATTAAATTGTTTATCCAATGTTAAGTCTGTAATTACTAAACAAATTCCATGGTAAAGCTGTGAAAATTCACAAAAAAATTTAAAAATAAATTGTTGGAATTTTGTTGATGAGCGATCGGAAAACTATTTAAAGTTTCTAAAAGTTTGGTACGAAAAATTTGAACTATTTTCCAAACCGACGGTGTAAACAAAAATGTGATATATTTTTCTGTTACTGCATAATGTTTTTGAAGAATTTTTCGATTTCCCGTTTATCGTAGATATTATATTTTGCGAGATAACCCGGAAAAAAGTGTTAATAATTCCGGTGGCAACGACGATTTTTTGTTCTAAAACGTTTCCTGAATTTTCCAAACCATTATCAGTTGTAGCATGCTCAAATTCCAATTATAAACATCATGCTGGACACATTTCTATAAAAATTTAAGTTCCCTACAACCAACCCTAGACAAATCCCGTCTGCTTTTTTAAAAGTTTGTTCGAAAATGTTCATAAGTTTCATAACTCATATGACTACAGTCTCTCATAGCCCGTTTAATTGATTAATGCATCAGCTCTTAGCTTTATCTTAATAAATAATTTCTAGATATATTTAAAACTATAACATATCCGCCAATGTTTTTTATATAATATATATTTGTCATTTATGAATGACTGTTATAACTAAATTTGTCTAAATCAGAAACAACCAAAAATCATACCTCAATATCTACAGTTAGCTTGAAAAATAAATCAAGCGGCAACAAGGCACTTACAAAGTTGCCAAATTTAAAACTATTTCATTGAAAACTGGGATAAGTTTTTAAAAATATAAAGACAAGAAGTGAATACTGCGCCCTTTTGTATACATTACTTAAACGTAGATAGATAAAAAGAGTCACGGAGAGAAATATTCTCCGTAAAATCTTCAGAAAGATCGGATATTGCCCATCAGCCTAATCTAAAACATATTTAATATCCTTCCCATAATCCTCACCGTAAGAGATATATTTGGGCCCAATTCTAGGGCTCAAAATTTGCTCAAAACACCTTAACACCCGTGAGGGCACTTTCTCAGACCATCTAAGCTAAAAAGTTCCATTTCTTCCCTCAATTTTGCTAGCTACTGTCGCCGACAAATTTCCTGATGAAGTACTTTGATTGCCACCTAATTCAGTTATTCAAAAGACAAACGAAGATTGTTTTCCTGTGGTTTCCCAATCTCGTTGCACAATAATATATCTATTCTTACTCAGGCGAGTACTACGAGTACAACTGCCCTTGTGCCCTAGATGAGGCTATAGCCATAGCTACTGTCCATGCGTTTGCTAATATCAAAACCTGCAGTTGGGCAGACACCTCAGCTCTAACGAGACAATCTTCCAGTAGATCAAGCAACTATCAAACTATGTCCGTCTGAATTTCCATTCCTTAAAGAGGCATATGCCTAAAGACGGTATCTCCTCAGATTGTAACGCAATTTTTTAAGAAGGTACCAATTAAATGATACGTGATAATCATCATAGCGAGAAAAATTCAACACTCGAATGAATTGAAGAATATTTCTTTTATAAATCTGTTCCCAATGTCTAATTTAGTAATATAGATACAGGTACGAAGATATTATATGTAAAAATTCAATGGAGATATATGAAATTAGAAGAATACAGAATACCACGACGAACAGATAGCTCTAATAGATACTGTATTGTTTTTCAGGAACTACTAAACATGTACTAGCAAAATTGAGTCGATCAATACTATTTGACGTCATCTCCATGAAGATAGATGACGTCAGTTCGCTTTAATGCCTTCTAGACAGTTTAAAAGATCTTCTATGTTTTTTGGTTTGTGAAAAGTGCACAACTAGCCTTTTTTAAACCAGATGGGAAGTCAGATACGGTTATTTGGAGAAAAAATTTAAACCAGAGTCCAGAGTTAATATCAGGAAAGGTCTTGCAGGACGAAAATTGTAGTGTATATTAAATGCCCCTATCAAAAAAAAAATAGAATAGACAAAAGCATGAGGTACTAGAGTAACTAACTTAATTCAAAATACTATTGCCCTAGAATACGTACATATTAGAGTGCCATGACACTTTCTACATTAGAATATACTTTTAAACATCACTGTCTACAAAAACTATGTACAACGCAAAATTTGTTCGTTTTCTAAACGTATTTTTGCCTTGAAACATATATGGTAACCTAAAATTCAACGTAACATAGGTGCCTTCCTTCTTTCCTCTTAAATTTAGCAGAGCCTCTACCCGAAACAAAAACAACAAAAAGACTGAACATATATTTAGTACGTATAAGAGTGTTGTCACAACCCGCATAAAAGTACACTCAATACTGATAAAAAAAACTGCTAAATTTTGCGGATAACTATCTTATAGCACGCGTATTGTTCACATTAAATCTAATGTCGGTTATATTCGAAGCCCTAGTGGATTTTTAAATAATTCAACAATTTATAAATTGTATAGACGCTTTCAATTATGAAATAGAATATTTTTGATAAGACTTTTTCTATGTGTATCTACATATTGATTGAAAAACAGCTAGTCCAGTAAAATGTTCACAATTACATAGAAAATGTTCACATGTACATGAAAAAATGTTCATATGTACATAGAAAAATGTTCACACGCATTTATTTGATGGAAAATAAACAAAATAAAATCAAAAATGTTCACAAACACAAAGAGAAACTAAGAAAAATGTTTAAATACATATAGAATGTTAATATGTGCATGAAAAAATGTTTACATGTTCAGGGAAAAATGATCACACACAGTTAAACGGAAACTGATCAAAATAATATTAAAAATGTATAGGAGTCTACATTTTAACATGTGCGAGAAGAAATGTTTATAAATACATAGATAATGTTCAAATGTGAACGGAAAAATGTTCACATGTACATGAAAAATTATCACATCCAGTTATTTGGAAAAATGTTCGCAAACATAAAGGGAAACACAAGCAGTTATTTCAGTTTCGTCCATTAATACATAGAAACAGTATAGGAGTCTACATTTTAAAATATTCGTGGAAAAATGTTCACAAAAACATAGAGAATATTAACTTGTATATGGAAAAATGTTTTGAACGGAATGATGAATATCATCCAAAATACATGAAAAAGTTTTCAAAAACACAATGAGACTCAAACGCAAGCAGTTATTTTAGTATTGTCCACTAATACGTAGGAACTATTCACTGGAATCTAAATGTATCACATGTGAGTGGTAAAATGGTAATAAAAACATAGAATATGTTCATGTTCACAAGCACAAAGGAAATCAAACAGGTAGTTATTTTAGTATTGTCCACTAATACATAGAAAAAGTATAGGAGTTTCCATTTTGAACATGTACGTGAACAAATGTTCAGAAATACATAGAGATTTATCACATGTTCATGAAAAAATGTTCACAAGCAGTTATTTCAGTATTGTTCACTAATATGTATGTACATAGAAAGGAACAATAAACATTTTAGGAATATGCCAAAGACCTGTGCATGAATTAAAAGAAATGACCAGAGACAGATCTCTGGAGACAGACAATACACGACATCACGTCGACCACTACACTCCTCCTGGGGGTCAGGATTGAAGAGAGAGAGAGAGAGAGAAAGGAAGTTCACTGGAATCTAAATGTTTCACATATAACTGGAATAAATGTTCACAAATACATAACATATGTTCACATACATATGGAAAAATGTTCACAAGAAGACTTCATGAAAAATAATCAAAAATACATGAAAAATTGTTCACACAAATAAAGAGATTCAAACAAGCAAATATTTTAGTATTATCCACTAATACACAGAAACATGTTCACATATATATGGAAAAAATGTTCATAGATACATAGAAAATGTTACAGGTACATGTAAAATTGTTCACAAGCAGTTATTTCATGGACAATGATCGAAAATGCATGAAAAATTGTTCACAAACACAAAGATAATGAAACAAGCTGTTATTTCAGTATCACTAATACATAGAAAAAGTCTACAGCTACTTGAAAATATAGACGCAAAAATATCCAAAGACAAAATGTGTCAAACGAAATAGAAAAGGAAAAAACTGTATAAACTATTGCATTCTAATCAGCGTGTATAATATAGAACACATTACTTTTGTTTTTATATAATCTAAAAGATGTATAAGGTTAATTTTGAAGGTTATTGTCGTTATTTTAAAAATCCTCGTAGGGTTTCGCCGACGATTACAACTAAATACCGATAAATATATCTGAAGACTGTAAAATTAGAGTAGATAAATAGTATATAGACCACATTGGTTCTCATAGGGACGAAAATCTGAAATAAAATAGAAAAAGTAAAACAGTCAACTAACCTTGTCAGTTTTGGGTTTTAGGAGAGCGCACCCGCTCTCTGATAGGGATGTTCCCTAATTTGTCCCAATCGTCGCTGTTTCGCAGCCGCAGCTGCCGCACCTATACAGACCATCGTTTTCAATATTATTTATGAATTATTTTGCGTGATACGCAATGCAGTCTCCCATTTCATGGAAAAAATATTTAAGAGTAAGATAAAAGTCATTTTTAGGACGTTTTCTCGTTGACGTTTCTCAAAAGATTCTTTTTGGTATGATGCTCTAAATAATCACCAATGATATGTTACAGAATAGATCCAGAAATGAACAAAATGAAGCTTTAGGACGGAAAATAATATGTGGTACCTCGAACGAGTACCGATCCAAAGTATTAATTACTGTGCTATACAGCGGTACCAACCGCTATGTCCAGTCATGTACAGCTATGTAGTGCGCTACCGTGACCAACAGTAAATCATAAATAATAGAATAGAATAAAGTAAGAATTGCCTATTCTTACTATAATCAAGAAGAACTTCTTCTTCTTCTTCTTAAGGTGCCGTGCATTTCTGCGTAGGCGTCCACCGTACATCGTCTTGTCAGGTGAGATGTTAAATATTCTGGATTAAATAATTCTATTTTTAGCAGCATTGCGAAGCATTTCATAGCTGTGGATTCCTGTCCATTGTCGAATATTGCGCAGCCATGACATTTTTTTACGTCCGAGACCTCTCCTACCCTCTATCTTCCCTTCGAGTATCAGTTGCTGAAAAGTGTATCGTTCTCCTCGTATAATGTGCCCGAAGTATGCAGTCTTCTTACTTTTTACATAATTAAAAAGTTCCCTATCCTGTAAGCCCGCTCTTCTGAGTACTTCCTTATTTCTGACCCTGTCCGTCCATGATATTCTGAGCATTCGACGCAGGCACCACATTTCAAACACTTCAAGTTTGTTAATGGAACTGGCCTTTAACGTCCATGCTTCCATTCCGTACAGGAGAACAGGCCACACGTAACACTTAAGCATCTTGTATCGGAGGTTGAAGTCCAATTTGCGATCAGTCAGAAACTTACGAAGCCTCAAAAAAGCATTTCTGGCTTGTTCAACTCTGCTCTTTATTTCATTCTCGGGTCCCAACCCTCATTCAGCAAACATCCCAAGTATTTGAATTGCCTGACTTGTTCGATTTCTTCTCCAGAGACATATATCTTTGCGTTGGGGTAATCATTTCTACTTATAATCATTGATTTTGTCTTCTTGATATTTATTTTCAAACCCCGAGCTTCACTTGCAAGAGTTAGATCATTTAAAAGGCATTGAAGATCTTCGATGTTATCTGCCACTATGGCTGTATCATCGGCATACCTGATGTTATTAATAAATATGCCGTTAACTTTAATACCCTTATTAGAGTCTTCCACTGCTTCTGCGAAGGCTTTTTCTACGTATAAATTGAACAGCATTGGGGACAGTATACAACCTTGCCTTACTCCTTTTTTAATGGAGAAATCTTCTGTTTCGTTGGAATTTTGAAGACGTACTGTTGCTGTCTGATTCCAATACAGATTGGCGATGATTCTTATATCCTTTGCATCCAATCCCAACTCTTGTAGGTATTTTATCATCAATTCATGTTTTACATTATCGAATGCTTTCTCGTAATCGATGAAACAGATAAAAACATCCTTTCTTTGATCTAAACAATTCTGTATCAATGTTTGCATACTAAAGATCGCTTCTCTCGTGCCAAGTCCATTTTTGAAACCAAACTGACTCCATCCACTGACCTCTTCACATTTCTTAAACAATCTAGTGTGAAGTATTCTCAGGAAAAGTTTTAAAAAGTGACTCATTAGGCTTATTAGTCGGTGGTCCTTGCAGAAGTTCGCACGTGGTGTTTTTGGTAGGGCGATAAATGTAGATCGAAGCCAATCTTTTGGAATCTGGCCCGTATCGTAGATGTCGTTAAAGAGCTTGACAATAATGTCTAGGTTTTCTTCATTAAGTAACTTGATTGTTTCTGCGTACATATCATCTGGTCCTGGGGTTTTGTTACTTTTTAATAGTTTGATAGCGTGTACAATTTCAGCTTTCAAAATACTTGGGCCATACAAATGGTCTCCCAGTTGTGGTGGTTTTTGTGTTCTGTCATCATTGAACAAATTGGCTGTGTACATTTTCCAAGTATTAAGTATATCGCTAGGGTCCGTTATTAATTCATTTTGGTCGTTATGTATACCAGTGACTTGTTTTTTCTTGAAGACACCAGCAATTTCCTTAATTTTCTTGTGAAGATTGAAGCTGTCGCCGAGTTTATATAGGCTTTCAGCCTCGGCGCAAAGTGTAGTCATCCAGATCTCCTTCGCCGCTATAATTTCTTTACGAATTTGACTGTGTATATTTCGGTACCCTACTTCGTCCTGCCTGATCTTACACTGCCTGCGTTGTTCCATCATCTCTAATATTTCTTCTGTCATCCACTCATTCTTGGTAGTTGTTTTACTCTCGAGTAGAAAAGTGTTGTTCAACTCATCAAATGATTCTTTTATGGTGGTCCATGACTTTTCAACATCATTCTCAGTTGCCATATTAGAGAACCTATTGTTTATTTCCTCTGTGTACGCTTCATTTGTTTAATTGTTTTTGAGTTTTCTAATGTTTACTGATGCCTTCTGGTGTTTTCTTTTAGCTGTAGCGAGCCTCAGTTTGATATTTGCTACTAAGGGATTGTGGTCGGATCCTATGTCTGCTCCAGGTAATGCAGATACCTTAGTAATAGCATTCCTATCTATCTATACAGCCCTTAAAATCCATCCTTGGATATAGGCCTCCTCCTCCTTCTTCCATGCCTCTCTATCTTGGGCAATTTGCATCCATTTTGACCCGGCGTGTTTCTTCAGGTCATCTGACCATCGCATTTGTGGCCTTCCCCTTTTACGTTTGTGATTCCATGGTCTCCAATGTATAATTGTTTTAGTCCATCTTTCATCTTTCTGCCTTAGGGTGTGTCCGGCGAACTTCCATTTAAGCTTTGCTACTTGGGTTGAGACATCTTTCACTTTTGTTTTATTACGGATCCATTCGTTCTTTTTTTTTGTCTGATAGTTTAATGTTCAGCATTTGTCTTTCCATGGATCTTTCTGTCTTTGCTATTTTATCCATATTTTCCTTTGTAAACGTCCATGTCTGAGAGCCATATGTGAGGACAGGGAGTATACATTGATTGAAGACTCTCGTTTTTAAGTATTGGGGGTATTTTGAATTCTTTAGAATATAAGACAGTTTTCCGAATGATGCCCAGGCCAATCTTATTCTTCTCTTTATTTCTTCGGTCTGATTTTCTTTATTTAATTTAGTGATTTGGCCTAGATATATATACTCTTTTACTTGTTCTATTTTTGTTTGTGCCACTGTAATCCTATTCCTATACCTATACCTTCTATTAATTGTCAAGAAGAACTAATGTATGGAAAATGGAAAGAATCTGTCCCATAGAGACATGAAAAACAAAAGACTTTTGACCATACGAGTATTGACGAATTCTAAGACAGATTATATACTCTAACCGATCGGAAAATACGAACTAAAGCAAAAAAAATAATCCGAAAAGCAATAAATTAATCAATCGATTGAAAAAATCCGAAAAGAAATAGACTGATTATCCTTTAATGCCTTATGCTTTAATGAATTATAGGAGGCGTCAAATCCATTAAAATTTTCACATAGAAGCGTAATGACGAGAATTAAAATTAAATATAAAATACAGGGTGTTTCGTCAAAAATAATCATTTATTTCCTTATTCTGACTTTATGTAACACCATATATATTTGAAAATAATATTAAAATATGCTTCTGCATCTCCATGTCAACCGAAATATTAAGACCAGAATATAATTGATCATTTTGTATATTACAAAAATTCTTTTGAGTAACGTCAAGTGTGAAAACGCCCCAACCTAAAATCCTCTACAAGACACTACTTTGTAGCTACTGAAAAACATATAAAGCCTCAAGATATATAATTTAACACTAATATTCTTAAAAAAAATTGATACACCTACTTTGATCTACTAATTTGATAACTAAAAGAAAATCTTACTTTGAAATAAATATCTTAAAGTAAGAATATAAATGCTTTTTGTCTATACACAATTAAAAAAAAGAATTTCGATATAAGGGGTGAGTTGATAAAAGTAAAAATTAAAAAAATATGTACAGAAAAATATAAAATATATTATTTAAATAACGGATATTTTTAAACATAAACTTAAAACAGTGAAAACAACTGACTATTGCTCTAACGAGAAGGGTAAAAGGGCCACTGGACATCAATATCATCGTTGAAAAGTTTTCGATCCAAAATTGTAAGCTTTGCCTGTTTGATGTCACCATTAATGTGTCAAGTGTCATATATCTTGCGTTCTGTGGCATCTGTCAATTATTTTCAATCCTTATATTCAACTTCGTTCTATATATCGTAAGTTGCTGTCAAGTTCAAACAGTGAACAGTAGATTAAACAGAGGATAATACAACTCGATATAAATAAAACAGTGTTTAATCTTCTCTAACATTGTACTCATAGATGAGTGTAAAAATGTCTATCCAAGTAACATTTGAAGCCACAGCCATTTATAAATAAGACTAATCTAACGTTGCAATGCATCTGTCGGGTGTTATCTTAACAATTGTTCTTGATTTAGCGATTTACACGTGGTATGTCATGCGTTGTGTGTAATTTTCAATTCTCTTCCGTCTTTATATTCCACTATGTGTCAACTGTCATATTTTGACGTCGATTTTAAACAAAGAACATTTAATCTTCTCTAACATTGTACTACTCTACTCTATTACTAATAAAGCAGTTTTGAGTGATATTAAAGAGTACTTTGATATTCTTGGCCCTCCTAGGAGAAGTTAATGTCAGCAGTGCTATACTTTCTTCTTCTATTTTTTGTAGTACCTTATTCTTCCGAAGTAGCTATGATTATACCGATTTTTACCTTTGTAACTGTTGCTTTAAACAGTCTATTGGACGTAAAATCTCATCAAATGCTCATATTAGGCATCTACAATAGTTTGCTTCTTTCAGTTGTGTGTTTTCTTTGAATGTTTCCTTAATGTGTCATTATATGATCTAGATATTGCTGCTCTGACGTCATTTGACATTTTGTTACGTGTCATCTGTCATACGTTGCGATCAGTTTTAAACAAATTTTAAAGGGAGCAACATTTTATTTGTATTAGTGTTGGGTGGCATATTATGACACTTTGTTAATTTTGGACTTTCCAGAAGAATTTAGCAGGATCAGAGCTGCATGTTTCTTTCTTTTTCTTGTCGTGCTTCATTGTATAAACAAGTATTACATTCTACAATTTTACGTAACGGGAACAACGTTTTATTTGTATTAGTGTCGGGTGGCATCATTGTTTGGACATAGCTACGACCAGAAGATTTTTTTTTTCATTTTGATGTAAGCAAGGTCAAACTAAACGCTAAAATTAAGCAGACACCAAATATTTTTAATCCCAAACGGTGTTTTGTTTAAACTGTTCCTTGAATTGCTATTACATATTACAGTACGTCTGTTAATACCTGTTTTTCGTTACATATATAGTTAAGTTTCGTGATAAATGCGTAAAATCCATATCTTAAAAACCTGGTGACCCTTTGACCCCTCTTGGTGATTAAGTAAGACTGAAACGCGTCTAAAGCCTTGAAATAGTCTCACATAAAATATATATAAATTAAAAAATACCTAAGTGCTATGACTTGCAAGATAAAAAAAAATTGAAAAGTAAAATCCTCTTTTTTTTCAGATTGTCATGTACGTCGGGTACATTACCATCTGCCTAGCGGTTAAGTATCACAGAAATGTAAAAATATTGTAATAAAATAATTTGCGACTAATTTTACCATCGATTTTTTTCTATTTCTATCCTTAATGGTCTGAAATAGTACGAGAAATGTTTCAAAAAAGTCAAAATAGTAAGTGGGTAGATTCGAGAAACCTACAAGGGGTCGTGGGAGTTCGAAAAACATTCAATTTGTGTAAATTAAATATTTTCTATTATTATAGATACCCAAACCTACAAAAACTAAGCCCCGTACACTTCCTTTTGGTTTTAATCGATTGTTGAATAACCATTAGATTATTATTCATAAAAGTGAATACTTTGTCTAAAGTGTCAAATGCTTGACACTTGTCAAATTATGACAATTGACGTTACTGATTTTTTGACGTTTTCAACAGAACTATCTTAATTTATAAAAAAAAAACTATTTTAATACTGGCTATAAGAGTTTTATTATCGATATTCTTAAAATGGGAAAACTCAATTAATTAAAACCAAAAAGAATGAAGCCATTTAGAACAATTTTGTTCCTTTGCCCGGAAAAAGAAAACAATGGCTGACATGATGGAATTTTTTTTTAATAAAGCTTTTTGAATGTTGTATATATCACTGGTAATTGTTTCAAAACTGTTATTAAAATGTGGGATAACTGGGACTGTCAAAACAAAATTCAATTTGATTTAAATAAATTGCAAATGTACATGATGCTATGAAAATACTTTTTCACCTGGAATACACAGAGAAATGTTCATAGGTGTTGGAAAACATTCATAAATGGAAGGAAAATGTTCTCAAGTTCATGGAAAATTCACAAGAGCGTTTATTATAAACAAGGATATTAATTTAGAAGCAGTTCTTTCATGAAAATTGTTAATTATTACATGGAAAAATGTTCACAGGTTCTAGGAAACCGTTCAAAAGCAATTATTTTATGGAAAATGTTCACAAACACATTAAAACATATTCACTAGAAAATATAAATGCATAAAGCAACGAATTGATCGTTTACAAGCAATTATTCCACCAATATTGTCCACAAATGTCTGAAAAATGATCATATTAAACAAAAAAATATTCACAGGTACGTGAATGAAGTTTGCAAGTAACTATTGCATGGAAAATGTCTCCAAATGTCTCCAAAGTGAAATTTTTCGCAATCTATCATTTCAAGGTAATTGTTTACCAAAATGTCACTAGCAGTTATTACGGCAGTTCCATAAATTCAAGAACAATCCATATAAAATTCATAAGAGCATGGGATATTTTTATAGGCAGTTATATCACGGAAATTGTTCATTGTTACATACAAAAATGTTCACAGATTTCGGGAAAACACAATAAAAGTACAAGAATATAGAAATACATACGCATAAGTCAATGGTTCACAAACACTTATTCACGAAAATTGTCGATAGGCGTATGAAAAATGTTAAGATACATATTCACAGATACGTTTAAAGAATTATCAACTAATTATGACATGGAAAATGTTCTCCAATATATGAAAAAATGTTCATATATACATGAAAACATGTTCACAGGCAGTAATTATTAAACGAATGAAAAATTCACAAGTGAATGAGATATTGATCATAAAAGGTTAATTTAAGAGATTCTTACATGAAACCAGTCAAGAGCTTAACAAAATACAATTGCTTATTGAATAAAAAGATACAACAATATCCATATGTTCCATTTATATTGCAGAAACATAATCGATGAATGTAACTTAAATAGATAAATAGAGTAATAATAACAGTGAATTATATTAATGTTTATGACTCACGTAATGAGACTGACGAATATCCTGAGGACTAATTATTTAGAAGATATTGGAAAAAATAATTAGAAGATATGAATTTGAGTGATTACATCTTGCAACAAATTTACTGTAGTCGTATTCTCTTTCTTCCTGTACATTTGCCTAATCGATATATTTATCTAAAAAACACTGTCATATAATTATTTTATCCTTCATTCCAAATGGCACTCGATCAAAAATTCCAATCATGTCAATTCCATTTTCCCCTACCATTAAATAAAAATATCTTTTCGATGGACATCAAACTTTTAAAAATCTACCAATAACAAATAGCTAAGTATTCTTAAAAAGGCCATGCATACTATGTTTCCCGGTTCGCCTGATCCAAATCTCCTAAATCGTAAAAAGATCATCATTTTAATTAAACGGAGCATAATTGTACAAAAGTTGTAGACAAATATCTCGATGTTATACTGAAACTGCAACTATTAGGATTAGATAGATAACCTATAACACACGAAAGTTTTGATTTACGTCATGCCGTATTTCCATAGCGCCATCTATTTTACAGATCACTTTCTAAACCGTGACCAATATTTCTTTAAGCTGTCATTAATTATTATTTACTAATGACACTAATGACGTCATTATATGACAAAACAGCCAATGACAGTTGGCTGTTTTGAAAAGTTTGAATTTTTGACAAAATTTGACAACAATTTTCCTGTTGGAATAATATCTATAAAAGAGAATAAGAGAATAAGAGAATAATATCTATAATATTGGAATTGATGTCTCTCAAATTTTAAATCATTTCCGCATACTGCCATGTATTTTCTAAAGCAATATTTAAACAACAATCCAAGTTTTATTGAACTGTAATTGCTGTAGCGTAATGATGCTACTGTACGTCAAAATTTAAGTTGGCTATCCTGAAAAGTTGGTATTTGTCATAACACACAACTGATATTAGTGAGAGAGATATATGAAAGATATTCATTGAAGCCTGGAATAAAATACTGAAATTTGATCAGGCGAAACAGGAAATTTCGAATGGTAAGTAACTCTTCTTTCCTCTTCGATTACACAGCCCCTTCAACTGATTCTAAGTACTAATAAAGAAAGTACGACCCGCCAAAATTAGCGGGCGAACAACCCACCCGAATGATCAGCAGTGGTGTATTCCGTTAAGAGAGGTGACGCTGCGAGGGCGGCGTAATTCGTGTAGTCTGCATAAGGGGCATAAATGAGTCCGTGCGGGTCTCCGGGAGAGAGGAGCGATCCGGGTGGCGCAGATCCGTTCAGGATGGAGGCTGCCGTCGTGGGCACCGACATTCTGGGAGATAGAATGAGAGGCGCGCCCAGGGGTGCTGTTGGAGTCCTCATTTGCGTGGTTAGGCCGGGAATGGCGGGTGAGAGCAGACGCTGGGTTTCAACGGCGGATGCCGCCAACCGCCTCCATTCTTCGTCGCAGGCTGGAATCAAAAATTCTACTGACATATAATTACACTGTCAAGGACACCAAGATTGTTGAATATAAAATATGTATATCATATTTTGTCAAAAAATTGACTTATCTGTAGGAGAGAGGAGGGCACATATGGACAAATATCAAAAAAAAATATACCGCAAAATGTGATTCACTTTATAGAATCAGCTTCTTCAATGTAAGATTCACATATTTGTAAGTATTTGTGTACATTTAAATTTGGCAGAAATTAAATTATTTAGGGCATGTGCATTAAATTCAAAGTAAATGTAATTAGTCCACAAATGCCCCTAAGGGAGGCACATGTGGACAAGACAGTATTTTCTACAGGGCACATATGGACACAGGGTTTGATGGAAATAAAATAATAACATTTTTTATAAGTTCAACTTTTAATATTTATTTAACATAATACATTGAATTATCCCATATTATAGGTACTCATGAAAATTAACGGAAAACCTAAAAAAGGAGCTGGAGCTTGCTGTCCCAATTTTTTTTTTCCGAACCTGGCAATTTTCTCCTAATATCGTTTGCAGAAATATAACTCACATCCTTCTGATCTGGAAATACAAAAACTTGTCGCGGCGTCATTTTTCAAAAATTTACTAAAAATTCTGACTCTTCTAGTTCCTTTTCGATCTGACCAACAAAGAATTTGCGTGTTTTTTTTTTGTAGCAAATTTAATGAGAACACAAAATCTGCTTTCTGGATATTTGTAAGATCCAATCCAAAGTCTTCACCATAACTTCTCAACTTTCATAAGACTATCATCTGATTCTTCGCAATAATTCTCAATTTCGCTTTCTGCTGTCTCCTCATCAAAAACTTTGCGAATATGGGATTTGGATTTTTTCTTTTCTATATTGCTTGCCTTTCTTTCCTGGGCTCGTTTCTATTTTTCCTCATTTTCTCTTATTTCATTTTCTAATCTATTTTTTTTTTTTCGGCTGTAGTGGTCAGAATGGTTGACATTTTTTACTTTCTTCCTTTCTTAGAACTTATTCTCACTTAGAACTTCGAGGAATCCCAACACTTGAACAAACAATACCAAGGCTGCCTTCTGGAGCTCCAGTCAGGAATGACTCTTTAAATCCCACTCTTGGGAAGATATAAGCAGGTGGAATAGCATTTCCATTGGCAATGATTATTCCAACAAACCTCATTTGCTCACCTCTCTCTGCTCCAATCGCTTGTCCCACTTGCTTGCAGCTCTTATTTGCGACGACTTTTGGCATTTGCAGAACAGTGTTCACTCCGCTTTCAACTACATTCATGATTCTATCACTAGTAAATTTGGACGTTTTGTAAACAGTCTCTAGGTTATTAAAAAACATGTCTACGTCAACTTCATTAAAACTGATGTTTGTGGCAAGACTCGTAGACTCCGGTTTTCCCAAAGATAAATTATTGTGACGCTTCATGAAACGTTTCATCCACTCTATTCCAGCAAAATGATTTTCCGACCATGACTTTCAGAGCATACTCTATGCGAATGTTCGAATTTGAAAGTAGGTTAATCCATACTGTAACTTTGACGATTGAAGAATATAATTTACTAGACTTTCCTTTTCTTCATTTAAAAAAATCTGCTGTGTTGTATATTTTGATGAAAACTTTATTTCGGATATTTCTGTATCATTTATATTTTTTTGATTCAGTTTTTTTAATCTTTTATGTAACATGTACTTCTTCAATCCATATCTCTCTGCTACGTTTCTGATTGATCCGTTACCATTTTTTATATCGCAAATGGCCTGAACTACTACGTTTTCAGGAATATTACTTCCATCAGTTTTTCTGATGTAGGTTCTCACCATTATTTCGAACTGTAAGGTAAAAATAAAAAGATATTTTAATTTTTGTTTTGAAAGAACCTATAGGGTACAAGTGGACAGTGTCTGCCCAGTATGCATAGTTTTTCAAAAGTACCGGATATCTGTTTTTTGGTTATGACTAGAACAAAACTGTAGAAACTTACCTGATATCAAATATGACAATATTCAAAATACGATACACTTTACGAAACACGGAATGTCACTAAATAATATTACAATCTCTAAAAAAGTGTTTTATTTCTTGGTATAGAACTATATCACTACTGCCACCTAAGAGACAGGTTAGAACCACTAGAAAAGAAATCTAGACGGAAAAAAGCAACTGCCCACTTGTGCCTCTATCCACATGTGCCTCCCTGCCCAATGAGATATATTCCTGGAACGACTTTTTAAGTTTATTTGATCATCTAAAGCCACTGGTGCATTTTTTTTCTTTACTCAATGATGATAATATATTCTCTTCATATTTGCTATTATATAAATATATAATTTTGGAAAGAGAAATAGTTGGCACAGCGGTTTGGTCAAGAATATTCGTTATGTAGAGGATATAACAATAATTACTGGCAAGTTAAAATATCTGGAGAGATTGATCAGAATAGAGTGAGGAGTACGAATTATCGCTTAACATTACAAATACAAAATTCATTATGATTAGTAAGGACATCAATAATAATCAAACCTTTTGTAATAAAAGCAAATATATTGAAACATTGAAAAAATATAGCTATCTAGAGACACTAATAATTGAAAGGAGATGAATAAAACTTTGTTTATTAAAGATTTGTCTCTGAATCTAAAGACGTGTTTAATTAAAAGTTTAATGTACTTTGTTAAGGTGTCAAAGAGTGGACATAACATAAAAGCCATAAGAAAAATTAATTCTTTTAGAATGTGGATGTGGATAGAGCAAATTACTAAGAATATCCTAGGTTGCCAAGGGAAAAGAAAACGAAGTAAGACAACTAGAAGTAAGATAACTAAGAAAAGGAAACTACGATAACTAAGACATATAATACGTGGTGAAAGATACAGTATCCTAGGACTCATCAATTAGGGGAAAAACAGTCTCTGAAGAAGACGTACATCTTGGCTTCTTGGTAAAAGTCGAATACATGAAATAAAAGAAAGCTAAATATTTACCTGCTACTGCCGCCGCTTTCGATGTGGAGTCTCTGTATGTTCCATTTATTATAGCTAGTTCCATCAACTGCCTTTTTTTCAGTTCATCTTCACCATCGGCTTGCTGAAAATGTAAGAAAAACAAATATTAAGTATCATATTTAAGTCAGCTCTACAGTAAGGTAAGGAAAACAAAAGAAATTTTAATAAATCTTAATAAACCCACAGCAAATTGTTTTACATGCGTTCGGATTGGTAAATAATTGAATGTTTATTATAAACGGCTTGTAAGCTGCATATTTAAAACGACGAATATAAATACAAAGCGCTCATATTTCAATCTCGGGAATACATTTGCTGAACGTCGTTATATAAGTAGCAACGGCAACCTATCTCAATAGGTCGTTCCTCAACGTAAGCTTGTTGAAGTTTGCAATAAAGTAAAAGAAGTAAAAGAAAGTACCATAGGTGTTTCTTTTGGGGGAAACGTCAACCTAACCCTCAGTTGGGCTAGCGTCCAAAAGCTCAAAGCCATACTATACCAAGATAAGAATAAGATAATTATAACAACTAGAAAATAGGAAAAAATAGACTGGAAATAGACCTACTAGAAACTGATGAAGAATTTGAAGAGAATAGAAGCAACAAAACAAAGTTGGAACACTATTGGTGGATAAAAGAGATAAACTACTGAAAAATATAAACATACAGGTAGTGGAAATAGACAATACCTTGTAGGACCTCTTCGGCTTCTTAAGATTCCCTGTAGTGTTATAGATTGGCACCACTCTTCTCTTAAAAACAAAGATAAAGCTCTCGTTCATGAGGATCTTAGATTTTTCGATCGGATTTATTATTTTTTAGCTCTTTTAAAGCTCTTTTTATTTCGAATCTTTCTATATTCTCTCTATTTTTCTTTTCCTTTTGAGGTTTTCATTTGTTGATTCATTAGACTGACTTTGCGAGCTGTACAAGATTTTGTAGAAGTCTTCGACTATCTTTCTTATTTTTTATTTGTTCTTCTCTTCCTTATTATTGGTGTTTTTAATTTTGGACTTTGTTTCCATGCAACACTTATATCTATATACTGTTCAAGCTATATCTCTCCACGTTGCTTCCATGTCAAAATACAGCCATCGGAATGCCACATCTAGACAGGGCAAATCTAGATACATAAGTGAACAAACAGTTGCATAAGTGTGCCGCAGTCCAATGCTGATATTGAGTAACCCAAATTCTAGAGATAATGCTGTTAGCCCTTCTGACTATTTGTACAATCTTCTGAGAATGGTAGATAAACTTACGTGATTACGAGCCAACTGGGGGCAACAAGTTCTTATGAGAAAGTCTCAGTAGTGACATTATACATAATACAAGTAAAGTTGCCTGTTATAACGAAATACAATGGTATATTTGTACTTCGGTGTCTATTTTTTTTTAGAAACCTCCATCTTGCTAATCGCTGCTACAAAAAAAGTACTAGTCAGTAAGTAGATATTAAATTTTGTCTTAAAGTCTGTAAAGTAGATAATACTCTTAGCAAAAAATGTAATAGGGATAATTAAAAAATCCAATTCATCACAAGATTACGTGAAGTCACATTTCATTCAGTTTATTTTCTCAATATTTTATTTGTCAGTTATGATCGGGTTGCCAGTTCTACCCTGCCTTTCGTACGTTTTATGCGAAGGAGCTCGCGTAAAGTTACAGTATCCCAACGGTAACTTTTTATACTAAATACTTCTTTTTAAACAAGAGTCACCTCAGAATATAATCATTAATACTTGTAATATGTACTTATACGTGAAATTTATAAAACTGTTCGTCCGAAGGCCTCGATTTCTCTCTTCCCATGAACCTAATTGACAACTAGCCATTTATTAGCACAATAAAATATGTAGATTTAAAACTATTTGAAATATACTGAAAAGCGAACTTTATAATCCAGTTTTGTACATATCTGATAAAAATCGCCCGGAGCTGTAGACATTTTATGCCTATACAGGGCCGTATCCGAAGATTTGTACGTATTTTAATCAAGGGAACGAGATAAAAATAAATGTTGAATGTTTTACACATTCTCTAGTGTCGGTTCTTTCAAATTAAAACTTGTATTTTGATAATCATATACTAAAAGTTTTGATTTCATAGCCATTTCGCAGCTTATTAACGTTGTCATAAATAGGAAAGATTAAAAGTGAACTATATACTTGGAACAACAAAATCAATAAAAAGAGACAAAATACAAAAAGGTTACATGGAAAAAATGAAGTTAAGAAGCGTACTAGAGTAGACAAACGACTAAAAGTATGCAGAGAGAAATTATACATAGATGAACACTGTTTTTACAGAATTTTATAAATACCATACTGGAACACAGCTTCTTATTAAAGAAACAGAGCAACAGTCAATTACACTATAAAGGAAATATAGGGCTCGACCTAAAGGTGGTAAAGATGTTTCAAAACGTCCTGGACCTCGTAAATACGCATGCCCGAAAAATTAAATGGACCCTAAAAACATTTACCATTTTAATTTCATAGGAAATTAGGCGACAGGGTAGGATTTGCATGTGTTAATGGTGTCGAGTATTTTCAATAAACATGACATATTATGTTTCTCTAATCTTCTCTAATCTAAACATTCCAGTTAGTCATCACATTTTTATTTTGTCTCACATTGAAAGATGTAATAAAAATTTACGACTTCCTGTCTTCACTGTCGATAAGAATTGCTGTGTAAAAATGTAAAATATTTACATTGCACTAATTTGGCTTATAAATAAACCTTATAAGAACTGAAAAAAATCTAGAGGACAAATAAATAAATAACAAATCAACGTATGATAGAAAAATAATAGGAATTTGGTTTTCAATTCAGCCAAATATGTTTTTCTTCTTCTTCTGTCTAGCCATTCACGTCCACACCTGAACATAAGCCTCTTCAAGTCTTCCTTTCCATTGTTTTTTATTGTACGCTACTTGTAGCCAATTTTTCCCGACAGTCCTTTTCAGATCATCTATCCATCTCATAGGAGGTCTGCCTCTGGGTCTTTTGTGTTGGTATGGTCTCCAGGTTAAAATTGATCTGTGTCATTTGTTTAGATCGCTCCTAGCTTACATGTCCAGCGTATTCCCATTTCAACTTTAATGATTTTTGCACCACATCTGTGACTTTTGGTTTTCTGTCTTATCCATGTGTTTGTTTTCTTGTCCTTAAGTGATATACCTAGCATTGCTCTTTCCATCGCGTGTTGAGTGACTCTAAGTATATTCATATTCTTTTTTGTGATTTTCCATGTTTGTGCCGCATAAGTTAATATCGGAATAATGCATGCATCAAAAACTTTAGATCTAAGATGTAATTGAATTTGTTGATTTCTGAGTATATAGTTCAGTTTACCGAATGCTGCCCAAGCTAACTTTCTTCTTCTTTTTATTTCTTCAGTTTGAATTTCCCTATTTAGTATTATTTTTTGTCCTAAGTATATATATTCTTCAACTTTTTCTATAACTTTATCGTTTATTATTGTCACGGTGTCTTCGGAGTGCATGACTTTTGTTTTGTTTAAATTCATTTTCAGTCCTATTTTAGAAGATTCGGTATGTAGTTCTAAAAGTATCGTTTGCATTTCTTGTAGGTCAGTAGCTAGCTAGTAAATATGTATATACGAGACGAAAACTTGAAATTCCTTGGGAAAAATATTTCCATGAGATTTTTGCATAATAACTTTCATAAAATACTGTTCAAGACTGTGCAAAATAATGTTCAAGAGGTCGCTCATACAAAAAGTGGTCCTAATTTATTAAAGAGTTTTGTATAAATCCATTTTTAGGTTGTGATAAGGGACTCAAACAACTAAAAAACAATGTTTTTAAATTAAATAAGCCCAAACTAAAGTATCAGAAACTGATAGAACAAGGTTTGGTGAATTCAAAAATAATTGTGTGTTTTTGAGCCTTCAATTATAATTTTTCGTTTTTGTTTTCTAAGTCGAAAACGATCAACTTTAAAGAAAAATTACAATTGACCTTTTTTATTCAGAATCTAAAAAATTCATTGATCCAAAAAATGATAAAATATTAAAAACGATTGTTCACAAAAAAAAATTAAAATTATAAAACTACATATTTCACTAACGCAAAAACTAGTTGTTCGTCTCTGTTTCGCTACGAGAACACACTGAAGAGAACTGCATGTTTTAGCAATGCCTGATTTCGTTGTTCGGTTCGTAGATCGACGTCACTAAATGATTACGTCAGGTCCACGACATTATGAATTATCACTAATAGTTGTTTAAAAAATATCATTGTATTGGAAAGTACACAATCTATAAAGCAAAATTTTCAAGTCTGAAGACGCCACGTTGTTTAGTATTTTTTGGCAGCCGTCAATAGTGAAAGTTTTCAGTGAATTTGTGACAATGAAAAAATTGGTCATCGTTGAGGTCATGAGATACAATTCTTTTATTTGAGAAGCCTTAGGTCAACCAATAAAAAAAATGAACTAGATTTTATTTTTGGTGAGCCTGCTCCTTCGTTTACAACAGTAAAATATTGAGTAGCAGAGTTTAAACGAGGTCTACTTTGAAAACGGTAGAGAAAATCTACATTGGTCCTGGATGATCATTGACTGAAGGTGCGCGAGCTAACTGATTAGTAGCATTTCAAAAAGTGCGGTACATCGCATATTCACTGAAGGACATGAGAAAGACGGTGCTGCTGTGTGTACAAAACATTGTAGTGAGGATTTTTCCATTGAGGATTTAGCAAAGTTTAACAGCAACAAAGCAGAATTTTTGCGCTGTTTCATAAATATGAGACAAAAAAGTAATCAAGACAACAGACTCAGAGTAGAACCGGCTCCAAACAAGTCTAAGACCGTTTCATCTGCAGGAAAAGTCATGGCGTCGTTTTTTGTGATACGCGTGCGATTTTTCATTGACTATCAATGTTATGCTAACTTATTGCAACATTTGAGCGAAGAAATCAAGCAAAAATGGCCGAATTTCTCTAAGAAGAAAGTGTTGTTCATCAAGACAATGCACTAGCTCAAAGATCCGTTATTGCAATGACCAAAATTCGTGAATTAAAGCTTGAATTGCTATCTAATGCACTTTATTTG